AAAATACATGAGTATCATCAAAAATAACAAGAGCTCTCTATAGTGAAAAAGAACCTGAAAAAAGACTAAATACATATATAACTGAATCACTGTGCTGTACATCAGAAACCAACACAACATTGGAAATCAGCTACACGATAAAAATGAAAATAGCAAGAGCTTAAATGCTTAAGATAAGACTTTTCAATCTTCACAACCACCCAATGAAGTAGGTACTATTGTTATTCCCATTCTACGGTGTTGAAACTGAAGTTTAGATGAAATAATTTGGTCAACCGCACACAGTTTGTAAGGGCTAAAGTGAAGATTCAAGCCCCACTCAATCCAATGCCCAAATCCATTCTCTTTACACCACGTCATATTACTTTCTCTGTATACCCACTGACTGTAAGAGGGTAAATTAAGGTAGAAATGTCTTATTCATCTCTAACTAGCCTCCCCTCCCAATTCACCCACTGCTTTGGAATTTAGAGGTGCTCAAAATGTTATTAAATAGGTAAAGCCTCTGGGAATATGGCGGCAAAATAGGAATGTAAGAAGGAGATTAGAAATCAGCCTGTCTGGGTTCAAATCATGACTTACTTGAGCAAGTTATTTATCTACCCTATACCACAATTCCCTTACCAGTATAATAGGAATAATGACTCTTCCTCTGTCTTACTGAGATATTTTATTAGGCTTAAGTGAAATATTACATATAAAGTACTTAAAAGAGTGTTTGCCACAAAGTAACTGCTCGATAACTGTTAACTATTATTTCTTTTTCCAATAGCCTTTTTTCAAACTGAGATTAAGGACGCTAAGAATAGAGGAACCTATTTTCAGATGGGCCTCCCTAACATTATGAAACAAACAGAATGACTCAGGAAATTTTTTGCTTCATATAGTTGTTCCCATTACATGATTTAAATTTATTCTTCATAAATATGTAGCAACAATAAATATCTACATCTTTTTCTCTAATTCCACACCCTACCCCAACAAAACAGGAACCTTAACAGGCATTCAGTTTTCTTTTCTACCTTCTTCTGCCTTTTCATATTGAGATCACCTGGGAATTGGGTTAGACTGTTCATTTTTTTCTCTTATGCAGCAATATTTACTTAGGTTTGCTTCCTTTTTTCTTCCTTCTTGGCTCATTTTCATTTTACCATATTCAAATATTTGCCAATTCAAAGAATTCTTTCAAAAACAGTTTACCTATCCATAGACACTGAGAAACCGTGAAGTTGTCAGGGTCTGGGAAAAACAGTTCAGAGGTGCTAAACAAGCATGTTTCATTTAGCTCTTGAAGCTGAATGCTAGGGAGGCTGTGTAGAAAATTCTACGATCAAAATGATTGTCCCTCAAAACTTTCAAGATATTGCCTTAGAGCATCCATTGTTACCAATTCTGTTCTCTTCACTTGATGGGTAACCAGTTTATTTTTCCTCTAAGTGTTTTTAGGATTTTCTTTCATTATAAGATCTAAATTTTCACCATAATGTATCTAGGTAGACGATTTTGTTAAAAAAAAAATCTATCTATGCCCTTGGTGGGACCTTGCATCCTGAAGACTAATATCTTTCCTGAGCGCTTATATTTCATTTATTATTCCTTCATTCCCTCCCTGTTACTCTCTCTGTTTTATCCAGGAAGAATCACTATCATGTGCACGTTTAAACTTGTGGATCTATCTTCCATGTCTCTAGATGTGTCTCTTATACTTCTCATTTCTTTGCCTTGGTGTACTGTGTTCTGGAAGAATCTCTTGGCTCAACTTCATCTGTATTTAAGGCTGAAATTAAGCCAGTATATCCTATTAGGGCACTCTGTTCTGAGTGTTACTAGTCAAGTGTATATTCTGATTGTTTGATCCCTGTGCCATTCTAGTCAGCAAATATTTTTAATATCACTCCTGGATGTGTTTGTTATTCTTTTTAGCCCATCTCTTGAGTTTTTCATTTCAGTGATCATATATTTCATTTCTAAAAACCCTAGTTATATTTTTTCCCTCATGCACTTTCCCCTAGAATATCTCTGGATGTACTATACTTAATTTTAAAGTCTTCTTTGGTTTGCCATGTTAACTGTTTCTTCCATTTGGGAAGTAGGCTAACTTATTTTCATGGTTTTGCTTGGTCCTGTGCTAATATTTCTTTGAGGTACTTCATTATTCTGTCCATGGATTTTTGTTTCATGTAATTAATTTGGCATTGCTAGCAATGGAGGGGTTCTAAGGAGGTTTCAGTTCTCTGAATTAATCTGTAATGTCATTCTCTCAGTATTAAGGTGTATAAGTATTTTTTGCATGGATATTCTTATAGCTATATAATTACCTGCCACATAGGAGTGGGGCCTCCTTTATGAGCAGGTGATGCTATATGGAAAGCCTTGAAGGAAGCCTTGAGTCTCCCTGAAAAATCAAAATCCCAGGGATATGCCTCTTCTGGGTCTGAAGTCCAAGTTTATACTGCCCACAAGGTTTGCTAATCCCAACCTATAAGATCAATGTAAAAAAATTGGTCCCAGTCCAGTCATACTTCCTTAAGAACCTGATGTGCTAATTATTAGTTTGCTGCCTCTCAGTTCTAAATCTACCTTTCTTGGCCCTGGTCTGTGATGCTGAACCTTGTAAGCACGTCTCCTTTGCTAGAGAGTGTAATGTTAAGCTTTGTCAAGTGAGGGTGCTGGAGGAACAGTGCAAAGCACAGCAGAGACCAGAGCTACTCTTTCTCATCTGGTGTTTTTTTTTTTCCCCTTCCTGAATCTATGGTGCAACTGTCCGTGGTGTGCAGGAGACTGAGTGGTGCTCACCATTCAGCAATTTTCACCGGAATCCCAGCAGGTGGCATCCTTGCCAACAGCGTACAGGAGACCCAGTGACACACACCCTCAGTGAGTTTCCCTGGCACCCAAACAGGCAGCTGCCCACTCTCCAGCCCTAGCTCGCTATCCTCAGCTCACCAGTACCTTGGTCAGCAGCTACTTGATCACCAGTCGTGGCCTTCCAGTTGTGGACCAGCTCTAATCTGTTGCACCTCAGAGGATTTTCCCACCATCCAGTGGGCTGCAACCTAGTCTCTCTGAGAAAGTCTGAGTCTCAGCCTAGGGATGGGCGAAAGGGCAGTGCTCTTTTAAGTTTTTCTATCCTTGGATCCTTTCCCTTAACTCTAGAGATAGTAACCGCTCCCTGCAATGCTATTCCTGTGTTCTTCAAAGCTCTCTCTTATCCATTTACTAATCACCTTTAACTTTAGTAATTCTTTGTATTAATTATATTCAAATTACTAGTGTGCCTTCTGTCTCCTCTCCTAATTGACACACCTGGCAAAAGTAAGTACCAAGAGCCCCAGTCATATTGGATACACATAGAAAAAAGAAAACACCCCACCGCTGTTGAACTTATAATAAAAAATTATAAATCCTCATAAGGAAACAACCTACCATAAGCAGAAATCAGCAGACATAATAAATGGAGGATTAGGGCCCCTCAAAATAGACATAATAAGATAAAATTTGAAAGAGAATATAAGATCAGTATATTTTAGATCCTTAGAAACCTAAAAGAAGGATCAAAACACTAAGAAAAGAACAAGACTCTATGAAAAAAGAACAGATAGATTAGGAAAAATAACCATAGAAAGATAAAGACAAAAAAATACAGGTACTGAAAAACAGTTTCAGGGATGAATTAAAAAGCAAATTAGACACAGATAAAAAGAGAATAAATGAACTATGGAACAGATTCAAGGAAATGTTCCAGAATTTTGTGACCCAGTGACACAAAGATTGAAAATATTTAAAGAAGTTTAAGAGACCTGGAAGATAAAATGTGTAAGACCCAGAGAAGTGTTCATAGTATGCTACCTTTTGAGTAAAAAAGAGGAAAATAAGACTGTGTATTTATATCTTATTATATTTCCATAAAAAACTCAAAGGGTACATCAAAAATGATAAAAAAAAGTAGTACATCTGTGTGAATGTGCTTGTGGTGAGGGAAATAGGAGATGTGGGCAAGGGTAGGACTGAGATTTTTTATTACTATATACATTTTATTTACTTTTTTATCCTCAAGCTAACACCTCACTTTATTCTTTTCTAGTTTTATTGTGATATAATTGACATATAGCATTCTGCAAGCTTACAGTGTACAGCATAATGATTTGACTTATATATATTGTGAAATAATTATCACAAGAAGTTTAGTGGACATCCATCATTTCATATAGATCCCCCAAAAAAGAAAAGAAAAAATGGGTTTTTTTCCCTTATGATGAGAACTCTTAGGACCTACTCACTTAATAATTCTGAAATTACTATACAGCAGTGTTAAATATAGTCATCACGCTGTACATTACATCCATAGTACTTAAGTATACATTTTATATTGGTTTAATTTAAAAACCATGTGTGTTACTTTAGGTCTTCTGAGAAGCAGGAGTCAAGATGGAATTGGATATACAAGAGACTGATTGGAGGAAATGCCTGTGCATGTGAAAGGGGAGGGAGCCCCAGAAGGTGGGAAAAGTTTTCAGACCACAATGCAGGTCTGAGCCCCAGCCAAAAGGGACGGTTGCGTAGGCAGATCTTAAGACTGCAGTGCAGTTCTAAGAAGGGTTCAGCCAGGCTGGTGAGGAGTCCTCAAGCTAAAGTAGCCCATCAGAGGAGTCACATGTCTTGCAGGAATGGGTCTGCCTTAGTATCTTTGCTGTGCTTAGTCACTGACTGAGAGCAGCCTGCGTGATGTGTGGCCTTGGTGGCCTCCATGCTGATGCGGGGGCGGATTCAGAGTGCAGCAGCTGAGGCCATCTGTCAATTACACTCCCATAGCAAGTGATCTGAGTGGCATATTTTCAAAGCTGCCAACCCATGTGATTAAATTTTGTATTCACAGAAGGACAAAATAAAGACATTTTCAGACAAAGATGGAAGGAGCTTATCACTCACAGACTGTCACCCTAAGAACCTCTGAAGGATTCATTTTGGAAAGAAATATTTTGAATCCTGAAGGACAGTGTAGGATGCATCTTTATTCAGGATTATAAACAAATCTTCTCTGAGGAAGGGAAGGAAAGGCCCCTAAATACATCACCTTGGAATGTAAGCAAATGTCACTTAGGGAGACATATCTCTAAATCTCTAGCTTCCAAGGCCTTTGCTGTTCAAACATGTTCTTTGCTCAGAAGACCTAACTGCAGAACTGTGAAATATCCAGTGGAGAATTGTCTCTTGACACCCAACTTGTCGATTTCTGCAAAAAAAAAAAGTGTGCTAGAATTTTGGTAGGGATTGTGTTAATCTACAGATCAATTTGGGGAGAATTTCCATATTAATAATAGAGTCCTCCAATCCAACAGATGTTTCTCCATTTATTTAGATCTTCTTTAACTTCCTTCATCAGTGTTTAAAATTTTCAGTGTACATGTACTTATTTTGTTAAATTTATCCCGAAGTATTTTTAGTATTTTTAATTCTATTGTGAATGAAATTGCTTTCTTCTTCCTTTTTATTTGAAATATAGTTGATATGCAATATTATGTTAGTTTTAGGTGAATGGAAGTTTTCTTAATTTCACTTTGGATTGTTTATTGCTTGTAAATAGTAATACAATTGATTTCATATACTGATTTTGTCCTGTGATTTTGCTGAACTTATTTATTACTTATAATAGTTTTTTTGTATATGAATTCCTTAGGATTTTCTATATATAGGATCATGTCATCCACAAATAAAGACAGTTTTACTTATTCCTTTGTAATCTGGATACCTTTTATTTTTCTTGCCTGATTGCACTGGCCAGAACTCCAGTAGAGCATGGAAGTGGCAACAGTGAAGTGGCAAGAGTAGATATCCTTGCTTTTTTCTAAATCTTAAACGGAAACATCCAGTCTTTTATTATTAAGTATGATGTTAACTGCAGGTTTTTTGTACACGTCCTTATCAGATTGAGGAATTTCCCTTTATTCGAGGTTTGTTGAGTTTGTATTATGAACGTCAAATGCCTTTTTTCCTGTATCTATTGAGATAATCAGGTGGTTTCTGTCCTTTATTCTGTTGTTTACTTTAAGGTAAATTTAATTTTCCTGAACTTTTAGAGAGGAGATATGGATTTATAACTTTATGGCTAGAGCTCTCTCCTGCTGTTTTTGTGAAGTGTCCAAAACTACAGTAGCTTAATTTCTACGATCTCCAGTCTCCATTTCTCTCCTTTACTTTCTCTGGACTGGTTCTTTCCTTTGTCTCTATTGTCACTATCCTGTTCAATTTAGATTCAGTCGTAGATCTCCTCAGTGTGGATCTTTATCCTCAAAGAATGCTTTGGCTGGTTAGTTCCAAGAGCTCATAAGTTTCAGTCGGGCTGTTTTAGCCCTCTTAGACCTTACTAAGATCCACGGTACTCACTTGCCTTTGGAATGTTACACCCTCCACGGTTTAACTCCTGCCCTTATGTTGGCTCTGCGAGCTTTCAGTGAGTACCTGTTGGTTTTATCATTGTTTTCAGGTCAGTGAGAGGCCCTATTGTTTCCCTGTGCCTCCTTCTGTACATAAGCTGATACTGTAGGTATTGTAGCTGTCACTAGTTTGGCCTTACTTCCCCATATTTTTTTTCAGGGTGGGGGAGAATTTATCATCTAGTTTTGTTGCACAAATAGCTCCTGTTTAAAAAGAAAGTTAGCAGCTGAATAACTGAAATGTAAAAATGGGAAACCAAAGAACAAAAGTGAAGTACGTCAACTCCTGGGACCAGGGCTGTGACAGGTGTGTGCGTGTGTGTGTGTGCATGTGTGTGTGTTATATAATCCCTTTTATTGGACCACATCTTCTGTGCATCAGGTGGCAGAAATAATTGGGAATGGACAGGGAATAAACAACAGAAAAAAGTGACACTCTTCACCTCTGCTACTTCAACTTGCTAATTTCTTTTTTAACAATTAAGTGAAAATTAAGTTACAGTAGGGAGTGTGGAATTATATTTTATACAAATAGTTCTGAGTGGAGAAGAAAGGCAGTTAATGAGCTGGTACCTTTGTGTTGCAATAGATGTAATTTGAATCCTTCAAATAAGGATGTTTGAGGTTTTTATCGTGGTGGGATAATGAGAACTGTTATTATAGTATATTCTCTGTTCAAGGAAGGAGACCTTCAGACTGAATTTTACTCTCAACTGCCATCAGAAGACAAGTAAAATAAGCAAAGATTCATGACCTAACTGCAAGTGATTACTCAACAAAGTCCAACAAATTTGAAGTCAGTGAGAGTAATCTCAAGGCTCTAGGTAGATAACTTTTAAACCAAATAACCAAATAACCATGCCTTTATACCATAAGATGATTTATACATATATAGATATAAATGTCTAGATTCAAGTTTAAAAATAAACATTTTAAAATCTGGCATGCTATGTGATTAGAATTCTCAGTGACTAAAACAGGGACTTTCCATTTTTAAAAAGGAAAGTGTTTCAATGGGATATTTCAAACCCACCTCCACACATGCTATTCTTATCCCAAGAATTTTATTTCAGTCATTGTGCAACATTTTGAATTTCTCCACAAATAACTTTGTACTTTTGTCTTTTATTCCCCAAATGCTTAAAATCATGCATTTTAAACCTTAAAAATTCCCTAGTTTACTCAGTAATTTATGATGCCTGAGTTTGGAAATGTCACTCTGATTCATTAGCTGAGAATAAATTTTCAAAAAATTATCTTTAAGAATTACAAAAACCAAAAAGGTAAAGATTAACAAGAAGCATTTATCTTGAATATTCAGCCTTCATAATAAAAAGGAGGGGATATACTTCTCTGGTAATATTTTATTGAGAAGCCATAGAAGGAAACACACATACTTGTAAATATTTTTCAGGTACACACATTCGAAAGCAAACCTTAATTTCAGAATCAATCTAGTTTCCAACATTTTCCCAACTGCCTAGTGTATTCCAATTTGCTGCCATAATAATTGGTTATGCTTGAAAATTATAGGAAGAATAATTAAAGGTTTTACTCAGGAAAATCAAAAATACATTGCAGAGTGATGCTGTCCAAGTAATTTGAAAATTCAACTTAAAATTAATGGGCAAAGTGCCTCATTAAACATCATCAAGCAATTGTGATTTTTGAGGAACATAGATGCTAGTTCCAGAAGCCTCCCCTGCTTTCTCCTTCATCTTACCAACATAATTGATATGTGTTGTCAATGGAGAGAGATTTACAGTAAGCGGAGCCGGATGAATAAAACTGGATGTCTAATAATATCTGTATCTAAGAAATAATTTATTTCACTTAAGCCTGTTCAAAATTGAGCTAATACTGAAAAAGCGATTAAGGTAAAAGATGAAAGATCTACCCAATTTTTTAGGGCAGGGAGCCGGAGAAGAAGATGAATGACAAAAGAAAGAAAAGCAATCACAAAGGAATTGCTGAGAGAAGAAAGAACACATACGTAAGAATAAAACAACAAAATCCTGGCTCTCTAAGAGCTACAGTCTGAAGAAGAAGGGGGAGCCCACATTCACAACTCTTATAAATACATTTGCATGGGACCTGACAATGTTGTCTTTCATTATTCAGAGTTATAACTATTGATAGAGTCAAAGTATTGTGATTGAAGGATATGGAAGGAATAGCTTGTAGAAAATATTTGCCCAGTGACCAGCATTATAGTTCTTAAAGCATAAATGTCAGCCAACAGGTCCCTGTTGAAACACATTTAATTAGAGTAGGCAACATATTTCATTGAAAACATTTTTTGAGCCCCTATAATGTGCCGGGGATGATTCTATACACTGAGACTAATGAGAAAACGAAACATAAAAATTCGTGCCTTCAGAAGATTATATTCTCGTGGGGAAAATAGACAAAAACATGAAATAAGTAAAGTTATAAATATACATATAAAATATAGATTCAAAAAGAGCTAAGTGCTAAAGAGAAAAAAAAAATGAAGCCAGGAAGGGGGATAAGATGTCTTGGGTCGGGGTAATGGTGGTGGTGTGGAGATGAATAAGAAGCTGACATTAAATAATATCTAAAGGAAGTGAAGGTATCTGGGAAAAGAGAATTCCAGGCAGTGGGAAAAAGCAAATGCCAAGACATTGAGACAGGAGCTTGTCTGATGTGTTGGATGAATTACAAGAAGACCAGTGTGGCCAGAGCAAAGTGAGGGAAGGGAAGAGAAATAAGAGATGAGGTCACCTCCAAGAGTTGCAACTTTTTTCCTTGTGATGAGAATTTTTAAGACCTGCTATCTCAGCAACTTTCAAACATACAATACAGCAGTCTGAACCATAGTCACCATGTTGTACATTACATCTCTAGAGCTTCCTTATCTTATAACTGGAAGTCTGGACCCTTTTACCACCTTCATCCAACGCATCCACCCCTCATCCCCTGCCTCTAGCAACCACATATCTGATCTCTGTTTCTATGAGTTTGTTTTTTTAAATTCCACATACGAGTGAGATCATACAGTATATGAGATACAGTATACACAGAACTGATTCCTGAGGTCTGACCAAGTGAATCAATGATGGATATTAGCAAAATCCATTGTGGTCATCATTTTGTGATATATACCTTAAATTTACACAATGTGAATTATATCTCAATAAAACTGGAAAAAAAATAATGGCAACACCAAGTGTGGGTGAGGATATGGAGAAACTGGATCTCTCCTGCATTGCTGGTAGAATGTAAAATGGTACAGCTCTTCTGGAAAACAGTTTTGTAGTCCCTTTAAAAATGAAACATACACTTCCAATATGGCCCAGCAATCACACTTCTGGGTATTTATCCCAGAGAAACAAAAACTTATGTCCACACGAAAACCTGTATATGACTGTTCAAAGCAGTTTTATTTGTAACAGCTCAAAATTGGATACAGCCCAGATGTCTTTCACAGGTGATGTTTAGTAACTTTGGGACACCCCGTGCCATAGTATACTGCTCAGCAATAAAAAGAAGTGACTATTCATTACTAGATATAAAATAGATAAAAAAAATAAGGACCTAGTATAGCACAGGGAACTATATTCAATTTCTTGTAATATCATATAATGGAAAAGAATCTGTAAAGAAAAAAATATATATGTATGTATATGTATAACTGAATCACTTTGCTGTACAACTGAAACTAACATTGTTAAGTCAACTCTACTTCCATAATAGCTTGGATGAATCCTAAGGGCATTATACTGAGTGAACAAAAGCCAATTTCAAAAGCTCACATACTTTGTGATTCTATTCAAGT